CGGCCAAATGGCTCGGGCTTCAGCTGGAGTCAAGGGTATCTCCCCAGAGCATGGCTGGGTTACTGGGGTGTGAAAAAGCATCCCCACCTTGATGGAGGTGTGAGGGCTCTGTGAGCTGGTGGCTCAGATTGGAGATGCGAGCGAACAGGTGTGTTGTGCTGATGAGTGGCATGAAAGCTGTCCCTCCGATGCATGTGTACAGATACACTGCCAAAACGTGAGTAATCCTTGCTGGCTAAGTTCATGTTGGCCAGATCGTACTGTCGGGGTTGATGCGTAAATCTGCCAATGATGTCACGGAGTGAACTCAATTATAGAGCCAGACGAGGATAAGTGAAACACTGCTGTCACTGTCTGTGGACCGACCCATTGGGAAACTGGGCCAGTTGTAGCTCGAGATCAGGCCTAGAAAAGGGCTTCAGAGCAGGAATCGAGAGTGGAGTGGCCATGTTGGCCAGATCGTACTGTCGGGGTTGATGCGTAAATCTGCCAATGATGTCACGGAGTGAACTCAATTATAGAGCCAGACGAGGATAAGTGAAGTATACTATATATTGTGCTTTTTCTGTCAATCGCTGATTGAGACAGGAAGCAGACGAGACAGAATCATGACAGCAACCTTGTCTTGTATCAAGTTTAATATAATACTTTGTCAACCTCTCAATTCTTTCCACATATGATGTCAGCTGAGAATACATGGACTTCAGAACACTACAGACATTACCACCGATACCCTCCTTGATAAGAATAAAATACAACAGATTGTGCTGAATACTGTCAAATGCTTTAGAAAGATTATTAAACATATCATGCATCCTACCCTTAAGATTTGTAATATATTTCTGGACAGCTGATTGTAAAATAAAAATATTATCTATTGTAGAATAACCTCAATAATCAGCTTGTTCCTTGCAGAATATATTCTCTTCTGCATAGCATAATAATCTTTTGTTCAAAATCATTGTAAAAATTTTACCAAGTACATTGAATCTTGTGTATGACATATTCACTGAAATGTATATACAGTATATATGTATGTGGGCTTTTATTCCCAAAAATAAATTACCTAATCAAATTAACTATAATCTAATTTTTAAAAAAGACTGATGTAGTCTGTGAGTGGAGAAACTATCCTGAGAGTCCAAAACTGCCTCCTCAGTCATCAGCCACACTGAGATTTCTGTTTCTGCTGAGAAGAGGAAGAGGCTGTGCTCATATGTCCTGGCACCACTGACACGGGTTCAGAGTCACATTTGTCAGAGACAGCCTGCAGGACAACTGTAACAGTCTGGTGGATTCATCAGGGATGTTGGTGTTTTGTGCAGCACACTACTGCAAAGCTAAAAAGTTTGTTGTGACAGTTTAGTGATTTTAATGGTGCAATTGTCCAAATAACTATATATAAAGTATAGTTAAAGTTAACACTAATGCTTCCTATGCTGGAGAACCTATTGGCTCTTTCCATATGAAAAAGTACAAAAACCATCTGTGTTTTTAAATCCACAATAATATGATATTAAATTTACAGCGGGGTCAATAAATGACAGTGCTTCTTCTCCACTCCCACAGGGACATGTTTGGAATTAGACATTCTCCCTTTGAAATGACCACAGATAAACTCTCACCATGTCAGCTTCTGTTTTATGAGGGGAACATTTTTTTCCCTTTTTCAGGCAAATCTGCTAAAACTGCAATGTTTTAGTTTGCGAGGATTTATGGATTAGGATTTACAGTAGCGATGTGGAGGATATATGCGTTGTTAGTCATGTCACCAACAGCCCTCTATGACTGCATTTTTATTAGTTTTGCTCTTACTGCTTCCTCAGATGTGTTTTTCCATGCATTATGTACTTACTGAACTGCAGCATTCTAAGTTGCTTTGTATTCACTGATGAGTAAGACAAGCTCATGAAATGCAGCAGTGCTTCCATGAATGTTACTATGTTATGTTTAATGATTTTTTCCAAGCTTTATTCAACCCCATGCTGTATGCAACCTGATTCCACACTGACCACAGAAGAGTCTTATTTAAAACTTTCAGCACTCTTGGTTTGCTGTTCCTTTCTCTCATCACTTATTTCCTGTGTGGAAGGAGGCACTTCATGTTTGTTTTGGCCCAGGTGGTCTTTTGGCCCAGAATAGAGGGAGCTGCTAGGGGCGAGAGAGAATCATACTCTCGTCTTTGAGTTCACCCCATTGACTTCAGTCCATGCTTGTGTACCGTTTCTCCCTCCATCTCTCCTTTATGCTTGTTTTCATCTCTTTCTTTTACCTTTCTCTACATCCTTGTCCTATCTTTTTTGTTGGTCAAGAACTAACTTATGACTGCTCTATGCAGCTAAACCCATGGCAATGACCGCATTTGTTAGGACTTACTATGCATTTCCAGTCAATTTTTGATTTGGTCCGATTTGGAAATTAGCTGCTGTCCAATCACAGTATGTTCCTGTGTCATTACCTCTTTCCCACCTTGATGTCCACGTTTTTGCTTTTCTTACCGGTGACTGTGGTCTGTTTCGGACCGCCCCTGGTGCTGTGAGAATCACAGCCCAGTATGTTTGAGTGTGCTGTAGCTCACTGGAACCAGTTTTGGCTTCTGTACCACCTGTTTGCACAGTGAGTTGCTTTTACTGCTTGTTTGGTTGAATTTATGTTAACTGCTCTATTTTTACTGTCCCCAGGTCTCTTTTGATTTATTACCACTGATGTGACACTGGGATCAGTTCATGCTAAAATAATGCTGCTTGCCAAGTAACAGGGTCCCAGCTAATTAGTTATTCTAATATACTCAATTATCTGAATTTAGAGAGTTCATTTAACAAGTGCAACTTGGTCTAGCTTTGTAATTATTATGTCATGTGCCAAATTGCTATTGACCAAGAATAATTCATGTACTTGCACACATCCAGGAAACCTTAATCAACAATTTTATTGAGCACTTGAAGTGTATATACGTCAGCTCGCTCCAGCTGTTTCACTCCACTCCACACTTCCTCATTTAATCTTGTTTTTCTCCTCTGTGTCACAGAGTCTAGGATGTGATGAGTATCTCGGATCAGGGAAGGTGATGGACAAGTGTGGTGTATGTGGAGGGGACAATACAACCTGCAGGCTGGTCTCTGGAGTCTTCAGGCACAGTTTGTCCAAGATCGGCTATCACAAGATAGTGGAGATCCCAGAGGGAGCCATCAAGATCAACATCACAGAGATGGTGAAGAGTCAGAATTACCTAGGTGACAAAAAACACATCACATTTATACTGCACTGTAGTTCTAGAAAAGAAAACCTTAGCTAAATGCGCTTCTGTTGTCTTGCTCAAGATGCAGGCTTTCTATGATTCTGGATCAGCACATCTGGAATATTGCTTGGATCTGGATCATACTGTGAAGTATGGTAGAACTTATGTGGATGTTATCGTGCAATTATTGCCCAAGCATTGTAGGCATTATGCATAGAGTAGAAACAAAAATACTGAAATTAGTATTAAAACCTCCCAGTGGTGGAGAACCATGTTAAAAAATCCTGGATCTGATCAGAATCCAAATCAAATAGATCGTCCCATGGGCCATACCCTAGCACTCCAAAAAATGTAATCAAAATCCATTCATTACTTTTTGAGTTATGAAATGAACAAACCAACCAAAAAATGCCAGTAAAAACATTATTCACTAAGCAGAGGTAATAAAATTAACTACCACTAGTACAGAAATAGCTTCATTCCTTGACTAGGACTGACAGTTACCAGCTGTGAGGTTGTTTCATCAGTCAGCTAGAGACTGCTACTACTTTCACACAGTTTCCTCTTCTCAGTACAACATTCTGTATATCCAACACACCCTTTTCATTATTGTAGTTTACTTAAGAACTCACTGCTGAAAGCTACAGCGTGTCATTGCTTCTTCTGTTGCAACTACTGCTGCTCCTATACACGTAATGTAGCATTTCAAAAGCACCACCTTGACCCCGGCATCCACCTGAAGGCTATGAGTCTATGTTCCCCTGTAGCAGAAGTTCTTATAGTTACTCCTCATTCCCTGCTGTGCTGAGCTTGGTGTTTCTTCTGGGGGGTGATGAAGTTACCAAATATAAGTGCTGTACATATTTTTCATTGATATACTAATCCCTTCCACGTGTGTTGGCTCAGTTTGGGTGGGAATAAATTCAGTGGAGATAGTTTCATTGCAGCATGTCAAGAATGTTAAAATCAATAATAATAATAATGTTTTAGTACCTGTTGTTATTGAGAATAGGGTTTTAAACACTTGTTTCTCAAGAGTCTGAGTAATTAGTAATGCTTGAAATAGGAAGGAGGGTTTTAAAATCACATTTTGGGGATTATTCAATATGTTGACATTTGACAATTCAGTGCAGCAGATGCTTGTAAAATTAATTCAGCTGGCTTGATTGAAAGGCAAATAAACAAGGGGTGGTGTCACCTTTTCATCCTTACGGCCTGTATAACCACCCTCCACTGTGGTAGAGCCTTAAATTACAGCCTCCAAGTGAGACACACTACACAGATAAGTGGTGTGTTTATAGATGTGCAGCTGTAGGATACAGTAATGGGTTATTTTCAGAGATGACTGTTTAATGAGAGCCATGGCCCTAGTTCAGCAGTAGATTGACAGGAAAAATACAACAGCCCCAGTTCTGTCCCCACATAAGGTGCATTAACACGTTTTCATTGGAGGATCCTACCCTTCACCGCTCATCATCCTTTTTAATTAAAGTGAGGAATTACACCACTATGTTTTAAATGCAAACAAGACTACAGTATGTGACAAGGGCAATAATCTAACAGCAGCCACCTACTGTAGCATCACCACATCCCAGACGTCCCCTCAGTAAGCTTCTGTTCTCCTTTGTGTATCTTTCATAGTGCTTTTAGTTGTCCAAACTCTCTTTTACAAGACTGTCTAATGTTACACCTCTAATGCATTTCTAATGGCCTCTGAAGTCAGTAGAAAAGATTTTGTTTCAGGATTTGCATGAAGCACAAACAGATTACATTAGGACATTATTTTGAAAGTGCACGTGAGAGCGTTATTTAGTTATCTTTAATTACTTTATAGGGTGGAGAGAGACAGTGTCAGAGATTTTTTTAAACTAGTTTTCATTATGTGTAAATAGTTTTACATTAAACATGAAACTCAGGCCTAACAGCAGTGAACATGTTCTCTCTGTGTCCTTCAGCTCTCCGAAGTCAATCAGGGAGATCCATCATTAATGGAAACTGGGCCATTGACCGACCAGGGAAGTATGAGGGAGGGGGGACCATGTTCACCTACCGCCGACCCAATGAAATCAGTAGCACTGCTGGGGAGTCCTTTCTCGCTGAAGGGCCCACCAATGAGATCTTGGATGTTTATGTGAGTAAAAAATCAGCTTGGACTTCAAGATACTTACTGTGGTGACTCTCCTTCTTACTATAAAAAGCCTAAGTCTGGTCTGAGTAAATAAGATTTCCGGAGCAGAAATCACATATTGGAAAAGCAAATATTTGAATAGATGAAAAGTATTATTTTAGGATTTTCCTCTCTTTTGCCTCAGATGATTTTCCAGCAACCAAACCCTGGTGTTCATTATGAATACATTCTCCCCTCTGAGAAGCCAGTGGGCCCTCAGCTACCAAACCACAGACCAGAAGGTAAATGGGACCCACTTTCTACCCCCTGTTTATTACTGTACTATAGCTTTGTCTGATTACTCAATACATTTTATACACAAACTGAATAACTGTTAATAAATGAATGAGTGTTAGTTGCAATTCTATCCATATATCCATCTATTCATACAACCATCCAGGCAACCAAGCATCTCTTAATGCACCTAAACTCAGATGTCCATGTCTTAGAGAACACCGTGAATGGACAGGGCGGATATGACCCCCACAGCAACACTCACCAGGAAAACTTCAACCCAGCAGGTGGGGGGAGATACCCTCCTCATCTTCCCGATATCCAGGTGCCCGCTGCACCGCTACCCAGACGTGAGAGAGAGTACAACTGGAAACTGGCTGGTGCTACAGACTGCAGTGCCTCCTGTGGTAAAGGTATGTAATGCAGTTGGTATTGCATTTATGGTTTAGGCTTTTAGTTGCAAGCATTCCCTGAGACTTACAAACTGACTGTGGATTTCTTAATCTGAAATAATGTACAGCCAAGTCTGGTGTTTTCAGAAATAAACCTATAACATAAAGTTCTTATGCTCAAAAATAAATTGTACTAAAATAAGCTGCTAACTTTTATCACAAAAAGGATTATTCTCTAACCTATCCCACATTTACATATGGACACAGACACTGAAGATGTAAAGAACACTGACAATGACTCCAGGTGAATGAAGCACATGCAGTTTGTATGTAAAAAAATATTTGTTTCTATTCCAGATATAAGACTCACTGCCTAAATCCAACATCTGCATTTTAGGATTCAGATACACCGTCTTTCACTGTGTCCACCGGTTGAGCCACGTCCAGGCATCAGACACTTTGTGTGACAGCGGCAGCAAACCGAGTCCACAGGAAGAGGCCTGCAGCCTGCAGCCCTGCCCAGCATTGTGAGAGACCACACTCCTCTTTTCTCACATGTATGCACACTGCTGTATACTGCCACTGTAAAAGACTTTCTCAAAATGCAAACTGATCTACTGTTAAGCAATACTTACTAGATGTTCTTGAAAGCTGTGAAAAGTAACTCTAAAGTTGATTAATTCAGTAAATAAGTATCCAGACATCTAAGCTTCCACTGAGAGGTGATACGCCTGATGCCCTTCCTGACGCAACCCTGATTCGAACCTGGGCCGCAGCGGCAAGAGCGCTGCGCCTTAACTACTATCCTACCAGGGACGACTGATACAGAATTGTGTACTTTTAAATTATTGTATATACATTTGACCATCAATTGAGTCAAGTGATTGCATCTACTCTCACCAAATTAAAAGCAATAGTGGTGCACACTACGTCTGGCTGAGTGTAACACAAGAAGGTGTTTTAGGACCAGCATGAGGTTTGCAGTATATGTTACCATCTGTTTTGTGTTTATACCTGAGGAAATTTTGACTTTCGTATAGAACTCCAAACCCATTATTACACAGAATGTCTGTTTTCAATCATTAGATGTGAAAGATTTGCTGAAGTAACAGGAATGGACAGGTGGCAATTCCTTTGTCACCCTCATTAATCCCTGAGCAACCAGTCGTGCTACTCAGTGGTCAGTGGGTCAACCTGTGGTTGTTCTGGGAAGCTTCCAGGTGTGAATGTGTAACTGTGTGAATGTAAACAGGGTGTTCCTGAAAAAGAGAGGTGGTCTCTCAGTGAATCTACCCTGAATAAATAAAGGGAAACACACACACACACACACACGTACACATTTTCAAATGAACAAATCACCATAGAAACAACTAAATAAATACAGTATGCCCAACACTGAGCTCTTGTCATTTCCACCTGAGCAGCTGGGATATTGGAGAGTGGTCAGAATGCAGCAAGACCTGCGGCTTGGGTATGCAGCACCGGCAGGTCCTATGTCGCCAGGTTTACGCCAACCACACCCTCAACGTCCACACGAGCCGCTGTCGACACCTGGAGCGGCCTGAAACTGCCAGTACCTGCCAGCTGAAGATCTGCAGTGAGTGGCAGATCCGCTCCGAGTGGACCGCTGTGAGTGAAACTGTCAGTCCCAATGTGACTGGATGACAATGCACCTGTCTGATCTGTTTCTACAGTTAAATGTATTGTGTATGCTTAAAAACTGTATCAGTATCATAACTTTTCTTTAAGTTTGTATAGTGAATTTCACACACTGTTTGGTGCAGCATCTTTTTGTCTCCTTTTACTTTGAAAGGGTATCTGAGTGTATTTTAAGTTAATAAAGGAAAATGCAAAAAAGTCTAGTTCTTATAATCATACACTGGCGCACTGAATAAAGCTAAAGAGTGAAAAACCTTAAGGAAGCAATCCAGTCTTTCAGCGGTGCTTTCCCCCACATTGCAGTATTAACCATGCAGCCTGTGTTTCCCTAGTGCTCTGTGCCATGTGGGCTGGGCCAGAGGTCACGAGAGGTGCACTGTGTCAGCAACATGGGCGACTTTGTTCCGGATGAGGAGTGCAACATGAATCTGCGACCTGTCGATGTAGAGAACTGTGACATGGGAGCCTGTGCCAAGAGCTGGTTCTATACTGAATGGGGAAACAGGGTAGGTGTTAGAGTCAGCGGGAGACATAGTAACATTCAATTCTAATAACACTGGTAGTCACTGTATACTGTAGGTCTGTGCTCATGCATCAGGCAGCTGTTCTTGATAAGCAGACACTATATAGAGTATTCATTATAGATTCTGACAGCTAGAAGTGCATGGATAAAGCTGTATTTGTGCACCCTGATAATGATAACAAATGATTCCTTACATGCATTCTGTTTTGGGGTCATGCTGTCATCTACCACCACTTACAAAGAAAGTCACAGTAGAGTAACGTTCACTGACTAGACTGCCTTTATCTCAAGCAATGTGTAGGTGTTCAAGAGTTAGAGCCACGGTGAACAATCTGATGAACATATTGAAGAATGAACAGTTCTAGGACAGGAAATTAATCAAGTTAGAGCTATAAAGAAAGGGAATGGAGATTTTTTTCAAAGACTGAGAATATTAGAATGACTGTATAAGAGGAAAAAGAGTCAGAAATAGCACTGAGAGCTTTTTCCTGTTTCAGCTAAAATCAGATATCTATTGGGACAGTGCAGACTGGAATGACCAGAAGGTCACTGCAGGGAAGGAAGAGCTAAGCAGATGACAGGAGCAGTAAACAAAAATGAACCCAGCTTTTTGTTTCACAGTGATGAAACCACTTAAGAGTGCAGTATGGTGACTTGACTTGATGAATGTGAAACACAAAGCCAGCTAGGATATGAGCTGTTCAAAAGCAGGCAAAATTCAGTTTTTGGAAAATGGTTTTTATACTTTGCCTTCTTAATATATGTGTACTATAGCTCAAACTCAACCTTGTTCAAATGTCTTTCTTAACATACAGTTGATGTGCATTTTTTACATTTAAATCTGGTTGTGGCCCATTGTGTTAGTATTTTTTGTTTTGTTTTGTTTTGTTTTTTTACAAAAATTAAAGCAGAGGTATTGATTGCTAAACAGCATGATCAGTAAAATGAGTGTTTTCACCACAGTGCTCTGCTGAGTGTGGAATGGGTGTACGGACCCGAGGTGTCCTCTGCCTGTCCAACTACATCAGCAGCCTTCCTCTGGAGGGGTGTGGCACCGAGCGGCCTGCAGACTCTCAAGTCTGCAACAACGGCCCCTGTGAGAATCGCATTGAGTGGTTCACAGGCCCCTGGGGCCAGGTATGAGGATGACAGGAGGTCACTGGTCTTGAGGAGAAGTTACCCAGAGTAGTTAAATAAATGGGATTTTATATGACTTTACACTGACATGTTTTCCTGCCTCTATTTTGCAATGTGTAATTAAAACTATTTGGTCAATGTTATTGCTACATGTGACTCAGTGCTCTACAGAGTGTGGCACAGGCAGCCAGCAGAGGTCAGTGGTGTGTCTGATGAAGTCAGATGAAGGATTCACCATCATGCCACAGTATGAGTGCTCCTCCCTGGAGCGGCCCCTCAGCCAGCAGAGGTGCAACCTCAAGGCCTGTGGAGCAAAGTGGTACCACACTGACTGGAGTGCTGTGAGTAAGATATGAGTAGACATGCCGTTCAACAAGTCATGTTCTCTCTAGTATTCTTAATAGGTGATTGATGTCCAACAAGACCAATAATCTGGGCTGCTCCTTAATCACTCAGAGTCAGATATTAGCTTGAATGGTGTTTGTACAGGTATGCAGGCATACCCTGAGCTTACAGACATACTGTAGAAAGTGGTTCTCATTAGGTTTGCTACATACGGAACATTTTAAACTTGTTTATGCAGAAGGCTTTTGATTGGTCTGAATGGAATATACAGTGCCTTGCGAAAGTATTCGGCCCCCTTGAACTTTGCGACCTTTTGCCACATTTCAGGCTTCAAACATAAAGATATAAAACTGTAATTTTTTGTGAAGAATCAACAACAAGTGGGACACAATCATGAAGTGGAACGAAATTTATTGGATATGTCAAACTTTTTTAACAAATAAAAAAACTGAAAAATTGGGCGTGCAAAATTATTCAACCCCCTTAAGTTAATACGTTGTAGCGCCACCTTTTGCTGCGATTACAGCTGTAAGTCACTTGGGGTATGTCTCTATCAGTTTTGCACATCGAGAGACTGAAATTTTTGCCCATGCCTCCTTGCAAAACAGCTCGAGCTCAGTGAGGTTGGATGGAGAGCGTTTGTGAACAGCAGTTTTCAGTTCTTTCCACAGATTCTCGATTGGATTCAGGTCTGGACTTTGACTTGGCCATTCTAACACCTGGATATGTTTATTTGTGAACCATTCCATTGTAGATTTTGCTTTATGTTTTGGATCATTGTCTTGTTGGAAGACAAATCTCCGTCCCAGTCTCAGGTCTTTTGCAGACTCCATCAGGTTTCCTTCCAGAATGGTCCTGTATTTGGCTCCATCCATCTTCCCATCAATTTTAACCATCTTCCCGGTCCCTGCTGAAGAAAAGCAGGCCCAAACCATCATGCTGCCACCACCATGTTTGACAGTGGGGATGGTGTGTTCAGGGTGATGAGCTGTGTTGCTTTTACGCCAAACATAACGTTTTGCATTGTTGCCAAAAAGTTCGATTTTGGTTTCATCTGACCAGAGCACCTTCTTCCACATGTTTGGTGCGTCTCCCAGGTGGCTTGTGGCAAACTTTAAACGACACTTTTTATGGATATCTTTAAGAAATGGCTTTCTTCTTGCCACTCTTCCATAAAGGCCAGATTTGTGCAGTATACGACTGATTGTTGTCCTATGGACAGAGTCTCCCACCTCAGCTGTAGATCTCTGCAGTTCATCCAGAGTGATCATGGGCCTCTTGGCTGCATCTCTGATCAGTCTTCTCCTTGTATGAGCTGAAAGTTTAGAGGGACGGCCAGGTCTTGGTAGATTTGCAGTGGTCTGATACTCCTTCCATTTCAATATTATCACTTGCACAGTGCTCCTTGGGATGTTTAAAGCTTGGGAAATCTTTTTGTATCCAAATCCGGCTTTAAACTTCTCCACAACAGTATCTCGGACCTGCCTGGTGTGTTCCTTGTTCTTCATGATGCTCTCTGCGCTTTAAACAGACCTCTGAGACTATCACAGTGCAGGTGCATTTATACGGAGACTTGATTACACACAGGTGGATTCTATTTATCATCATTAGTCATTTAGGTCAACATTGGATCATTCAGAGATCCTCACTGAACTTCTGGAGAGAGTTTGCTGCACTGAAAGTAAAGGGGCTGAATAATTTTGCACGCCCAAAAAAGTACATAATAATAGGATCTCACTTTGTGCTGTGTTTGCAAAGTTGAAATCTGAAGTTGTACACTTCACAGTCAGTTATTTTTGTCCTCATCACACTCCGGTTTGATTAGTACTTCTATCTCATGAACAAAGGGTAAAAACATATTTGCTTTGTGCAAATATTTATCACGTGTTTGTATGTCTAGAACTCTCTCTAACTTAATTAGAAACAATAAAATATAATAAATATAACTACTAATCTGGACTCTGTTGGTTGATCAGATTTGACTGAGTGTCCAAAAAAATGCATCATCAACAGATTTTGTTTCAAATGTTTCTAAACTCTGATGTACACAACATCTCATTTTCCTAATGAGCCCCGCCCACTTCAAAACAGTGAGAAAAGCACAAAGGAAAAAAGAAATACAGTGATCTGTCATGCAAAAAAGACCAAAACAGTTCTAACTTTGGCAGGAAATACTATGTTTATGTAGGATCCCATCACCCACAGTAAGAAGCACATTTTCAGGGCCTTTAAAGGTTCTGATTGCAAATATAAGAATTTTTGCAAAGCAAAATGTCAGCAGCAGACCAACCTTAGTGTAGAGATGTATTCACCTGGGATTAACTGCTGCCTCTGACTCCTGTCCCTCCAGTGTTCAAAAACATGTGAAAAAGGTTTCCGTGTGCGTGAGGTACGCTGCTTGTCTGACAACAAGCTGTCTAGTGAGGGCTGTGATGAGCAGCTGAGACCAGCGGACAGGGAGGATTGCAACCCAGAGCCCTGCATACCTCGCGTAGGTCAGTTATCTCCTAACATGTTATCTGGAATATTACTGACCTGGATGAACGTTTTACTAATGAGTTTAGCATATGAACACAAGGGTCATTGTAATGAATGGTAAGCTGACAGCGTATTGTTCTGTCCTGTCTCTGAAAGCCTGAACTAGAAATCATACCTGGAACAAGGCACTGAACCCCAAACTTTGTTCAACAACAGGAGTCTACTAGGACTGGAGAGGGGCCCTGTAAATGTTGATAAAGCTCCCATCCCCTGCAACACTTTGAATTAATACTGACCATACTGTATTTGTTAGAAATAATGACTATGACTTTAACATTGTTTCAGATGAAAACTGCAGAGACAAGTACATCAACTGCAATGTGGTGGTCCAGGCTCGCCTCTGTGTGTATGATTACTACAAGATGACGTGCTGCGCTTCGTGCTCACTAGTGGCCCACAGACAGTCGATTCATCAGGGCCGCAGCTAGCACTCTCTAACAGGGTTCCTCAGCTCCATGTCGAGCCAGACCTAGTGCCCTCTGGTCCACTCTGGTCCAGTGCCAGCCACAGGTGTGGACTGCCTGGGCCTTGCCTAAAATGGACACTTGTTTTGTTTGTCAAGGACTGAAACTGAAGAAGGAATATTCTGTTGGTTCTGCTGGAGACAACCATTGGGACAAAGGCATTCCTAGAAATAATGGAGGACAGGAGCCGTGGTGAGGCAAGGGAGACTAGTAGCAAGCCAGGGAACCGACTGTGGTTCAGTGGGTAGAGCAGTCATTTCCCAACCAGAGGTTCAAATCTCGGTGCCTACAGTCCACATGTTGAAGTGTCCTTGGACAAGACACTGAACTCCCCAAGTTGCCCCCGACTGTTAGAGTCACCGGTTGAGTTGGCGCCGCAGATGGCTGCCTCAGTTCTCTACTGGAAACAAATTCCTTGTGTGTAACATACTTGGCCAAATAAAAGTGATTACTATTATTAAAACACTTTATGGATTATAATCACAACTAGAATTTCTTCTTTTTTGTTTCTTGGGAAACAGTGTTTGCAGTTTGCAGAGAGGAGCATCTGTAAACTGTTTAACACAAACTATGTACTGTATAGACTGTGTATGTCCTAATAGAAATCTTTACACTGCTCAAATTTTTGACATGATGTCATATGAAGACACTATTTAACACCCACTTTGTTGAGTCAGAGGTATTTATCCCCATCGGTGATGTTTCAGTCCTCTGATGGCCAACAATGTCCCCTAACAACTGAGTCGTTATAACCCAGTATCGATGAGAGTTGTTGCCTGTCTTAGAACCCTCACCTGTCAGCCGACGCCTATTGTCCTGGTGGGCATGTTTGGGCAGAGATCTCAAAATAGAGTTGTAGATGGATGACAAGTTGTGTCTTAGTCCACCACCCCTATTTAGTGAGGGGTGTTCTATTTGGGTAAAAATAGCTTCCTTAACTCCTCTCTCAGACCAGCGATGTTCTCTGGAGAGAATCTGGACTTCACTGGGATAGGGATTCTTTGTGGCCCAGATGAAGATGAACTGATTGCCTAACCTTTTTACCTGCCTGCTCCATAATGAGGTAGCCTTTGTAGTATGTGTGTATATGTACAGTATGTATATATGTAATGTATGTATAACAGAGTGTAGTGGTGGAAAGTAACTAAGTGCATTTACTCAGGTACTCTAAGTACAATTTTTAGGTATCTGTACTTGAGTATTTTCATTTTGTGCTACTTCATAGTTTGACTTGACTACATTTAAGAGGCAAATATTGTACTTTCTACTCTACTATGTTTATTTTAACTTTAGTTACTAGTTACTTTTCAGAACCAGATTAATACAAAAATTACAATATACTCATAAGACTTTATTGATCTCCAGTGGAACAAGCTACCCATTAGTATGTGACCTACTTCAAATTATAAGCACATGCTGTAAACTCATTAAAACTAGCTCTCCCTTTACCAGCTGCAACATTGCATGTGCATCAGTAATTGTAATTAAAAAATATGATAAATATTAATGTTAAATGTGCCATGAATGCAACATTTACCACAGTGTGATGTTGCTGTTTCTTTTCACAACACTTAAAAGACATTTAGGGACTGAGGACACCGAGTGTGTGTGTCAGGTGTCATTTTGTCCCATTCTTCTTGCAAACAAGTCTTAAGGTGCACAACAGTCCTGGGTCTTTGTTGACACAATTTGCATTTCAAAATGCATCACACATACTCTACTGGGTACAGGTGGGGACTGCAGGCAGGCCAGGCCAGTACTCACACCCTTTTCTTCCACAGCCTTGGTAATGTGCAGTATGACGTTTTGCATTGTCTTGTTGAAATATGCATGGGTGTCCCCGGAAATGATGTTGTTGAAGGCAGCATATGTTGCTCCAACATCTCTATGTATATTTTTGCAGTAATGGTGCCCTCACAGAAGTGTAAGTTACCTTTACCAAGGGCACTGACACAACCCCAGACCATGACTGGACTTGTTGCTGGTAACAGTTTTGATGGTCCTTTTCGTCTTCGGTCCAGAGCACATGGAGTCCATTCCTTCCAAAAAAAGACCTGAAATTCTGATTCACCTGACCACAGTACACCCTTTTCCTCCACATTGCTTTCAATGTAAAATAGGACACAGATAATTTACATATCTCTATTTTCAGTTTTAATTTTGATTTTACGTAATGTCCCAACTTTTTCTGATTTGAGGTTGTACTTGAGTAAGGGATCTGGATAACTATTCCACCACTGACAGAATAAATGATATACTGTAGATCTTTTTAAAACAATCAGGCAATATCAAAAGCTTTCAGTATTCAGCATATAACTGAAACTATTAATACATCTGCATTTGTCTTATTCAAGTGTTCAGCAGTTGATTCTCATGGTGTTATTAAAGTTTTTCTGAAATAAGCAAAATTACTAATTGTTTGTACAAGTTAGAGCATTTCCTTCATTCCCAAGATTCAGTTTGACATCACGGAGGACAAAGAAATAATTCATGGCCTTCATCTAGATGCCAAAGGTGGTATTGCAACAGATTTATAGTAGGGGTTACACTTGCTGTAATTATACACTGTAGGCTGATTTATTACTGTTTCTTTTTTGAGAGGAATTGTCAAGATTTATTTATTTGGTCTGGCTCACAGAATATTAGTGATCCAGAGTACTAACCTCTATATAAAAGGCTTGGCTTTCTGACAGAGTCCCAGATTCCACGATTCAGCTACAAACACATTCTGTACATCGGTTAGACTGCACTGCTGCTTCGGGGAAGGTAAAAGGAGGCTGTGTGTGTGTGTGTGTGTGTGTTTATCAATAACTCCTGGTGTGGAGATGTATGGACTGTTTATAAGCACTGTTCACCAGACATAGAGTTTTTATTGCTGAAATGCTGGCCTTATTATCTAGCAAGAGAGCATAGTGCTGTGTTTCTGGCTGCTGTGTATGTTAGCCCAAGAGCTAACCAACATGTGAACATTCCCACTCGGGGCAAGAACACTCTGGATCATGTTTACAGTAACATACGTGGTCCATACAGGGCTGCACCCCGCCCCCACTTCGGACACTCGGACCACATTTCTTTGTTCCTGTATCCAGCTTACAGACAAAGACTGAAACAAACAAACCCTGTCACCAAACAAATTAAACTCTGGACCCCAGAGACTGAAGGCACCCTGCAGGACTGTTTCACCAGACAGACTGGGATGTGTTTAAAGCTGCAGCCACCTCAGAGGACCAGAGGACTTTTCTGACAGAATAAAAGACTATACTGAGTAGGTAACCTGTATCTACAACATTGTGCCCACCATACAAGTCAGCTGCGAAGTACAGGCTGAGGAAAGCCATCACAGTGGCCAAGAGGCAGTACAGAGAGAAGTTGAATGGCTTCTGTTCTACTGCTGACTCCGGACGGATGCAGCAAGGCCTGCAGCACATCACAGACTACAGGACCACCACCAGCATCATCAGCTCCACAGACAGCCTGCTGGATGACCTCAACACCTTCTACACCCGCTTTGAGACCTTCAGCCACAACACAGAGAGGAGGCACACACACACCAACCAACCCCCCACCTCCCCTCCACTAACTGTCTCACCAGGCCACGTACGCACAGTCCTGAGGAAGATCAACCACCGCAAAGCGGCAGGAGTGGACAACATCCCTGGGAGGGCTCTCCATCCTCAAGGACCCCACCGACCCCCAGCACGGACTGTTTATACCCCTGCCCTCCTGTCAGAGGCTCAGAAGTGTGAAATGCAGGACTTCTAGGCTGAAAAACTCTTTCTTTCCCTCGGCCATCAGACTCCTAAACAGCTGACTCAGGATCTACCTCGTGTAATTCCATCTGTACTGTTTACATACTGATTTCGCACATGCATAATTGCACACTCACGGCTGAGTATTTGCATTCCATGGCTCCCAAATAGCATATATTCTCTGCATTATATTGTGTTCTGGTTGTATTTTTATTTGCTTCCTTCACTTGCTGCTTTAAAGTGCCTTAGATTTGTGTTATTGCTCATCTACTTTATATTACACTTTATATTTCACTTGTATTGTCTGGCAAAGTAAGAATTTCATTGTAGAGGGAAACATGTTTCCTAACTGTGCATATGACAAATAAACACTTTGACCTTTGACTCACATTGTCAAATGACTTATTTACACTACCAGTCTGGTGAAACCAACCCCTGGAAAAACAAAAACAGACAAATAAAGCTGTGGTGGCAGATTTACCTCTCCAATGCCACAGAGGCAAGCCAGCACTGGTTGCTGGTGAAGCAACTCTGGGCAGGGCTGGCCAGGCAGGTGGTTGGTGAAGTACATGCCAGGCAACCCTAATATGATGCCAAACTACCAGATATGTAAATAAGACATTTCAACCACATATAATGCTAAAAACACACTGAAGTACTATGTGACAAAGTTAGCTTTAAGCAGTGCAGCAGGAGACACGTTTCCCCTCAGGGCTTACCGTAGCTGTATGTGCTGCTAATGGGACTGTTCAGTACGTCAGCATTCTTCATTATCCCATGTAAAAAAAAGTGGAAAACATCACTGCCTAACTACAGATTTGCTATTCAGCAGTGTCGAGTCACACTGTAACCCCACCACTTGGTCACTGAAACTGAGTGTGGGTTAGAGGCGCACTACCACAGAGAAAATCTCCTTTTGAATAGTTCCAGTGATCTGGAAATGAAATGATATTGTGCTACAGAACTAAATAGGTAAAAAGATAGGCTGAGAGTGATGTGAGGCTCCCTGTGAGAGGATAGAAGAAAGAAAGGATGACAGTGAACTAAGGCTTGTGGTGAAAGCATGCACACAGAAGGAAAGAGGACAAGCAGCTAGTGTTCTCCTGTGTGGCTAGGGAACAGCCTGACTGGAGCAATAAAGATGATAGGACAGTTATTTAAATGCACAGAACAGGAGATTCTGAGTTCAGTAAGTGAAAAGCAACCTGTTATTGATGGAATAACAGATTTATCATGTGCTTGCCAAAAAGTGGCTGCCAAGAAATGGCTGCCTAGGAAAGCAATGTGATCTCATTACCAACAAAGACAGTACAGAAGATTTTGTTTATTAATTCATTCTAAAGCAATGCAGACATGTAGTTAGAAAACAATGGGTTTTTTAATATTTTCTTTTTTTATTTAAGATCACACAAAACATGATCTGCCCAGCATCAGTCACAATTATTTTTCCATTGTAGAACCTATTAATACTGATGTTTTTTAAATCTAAGATCTTTAACATTTAACATTTTAAATTGATCTCAGGTTTCATGTGAAATGCAGCATTTCTTAAAATTCTGAGGGGTTTCACTAAATCCTGATGTAGTGCAGGTGAATAAAGATTTCCTGTTGCTTTAGTGTAATGTATCATACACTTTATATGCTAGCTACTGTTACATGCTTCAGAGATGAGTGTTTCTACCAGGGGCCTGGTTTAATTCAGAAGCCATTCATTTAGTGCTAGTTTTGTTTCAGAAGGTCACCAGGAAGACAACCTAAGTCACAAATCACAATGAATGACTTCAAGCTCCCACACTAGACTATGGCATTTGTTCCACTTTCTGTAAAGCATTACATTTGTCTTTTTAGACCTACTTCTAGGGCCATTTTTAAAAAGTAAAAAACACTACAGAGGGAACGTTGCTTTTCAGTGAACCCTCTTCTCCCCACCCCTAGGGTATAGATGCTGAAGGTAGAGGCAGCTGATGCCTGGTATTCCAGTGTTGTGGTTTTGACCTGTAGCATGTATATGTTCTGCAATTAATCTGAGCCTGAATCTATCATCGGGGGCTGTTTGTTCAGCCTCCACAAACATTCTGACTCAGTAATATTAAAAGCCTGAGAAAGCAAAGGATTAAAGTAAGGCCTCCCTTGGTCAAATTAGTGTTTTGCCAGCATGCCGCCTACGCTTCTCCTCAGAGAGCTACTCCAGAGACCTTTCTGATGTTGGCTGCTTTTTTACATGAGCAGACATCCCAATTACTATTCAATTACCATTCAAGCTAGTGTATGAAGGCCATGATATGCTAACCCCTGGACACAGTAATAAAGCTTAACCTCTCACACTAAGGTGGCATATTTGAAATATATTAAAGCTCCAAATAAATCAAATCAAATCAAATCAAATTTTATTTGTATAGCGCCAAATCACAACAAAAGTCATCTCAGGACACTTTACAAAGTAAGGTCTAGACCTTACTGTTATCAATATTATTACATAGGGAAAACCCAACAAATCCCCCTTGAGCAAGCACTTGGCGACAGTGGGGAGGAAAAACTCCCTTTAACGGAAGAAACCTCCGACAGACCC